CGACCATCCACATGATTATCATAGAGTATATTTTATATCAGCATTATAATGCAGCTTGTTTATGTACGATCTTACTTATATGCATATATATATACTTTTCTTGAAATAGTCTGTAAATCAACCTTAAAGTGTACTTATGATGACGCAACAGAAGGATTTGTCTTGACCACAATGTACTGATTTTCTGAATATAACATATTTTGTACATGTACCATATTTTACACTGCATTTCCCCCAACTCTTTTCTAACTTCCCCTGTAATGTATCTCTATTCACGTCACTATCCCTAAGCTATAGTTGTTAATGTTAGTTTCGATGAAAGGTAACAGATTTATATAAGTGTATTAACACTTGCGTCTGTCTCCAATTCATTTATGCTCAATCATGTTTGTATTATGTATAAGACGTATGTAATGTAAATAAAATTAAAAAAATAACGAAATATGGTTAAATCGATCCAAACTTGCTATATCATGACGTCATTATAAACAAGAATCAGGCCAGGAAAAGATATGTTTAATACATAAAGAAGATATCACCCGCATTTAGAGGTTAATTGATTCATTTATTCAAAGATATATCTATTAATTAAAAACACGTTCTCTATTACATGGATTTCTCTGTTAAATTATTGGAGATATCCATGCTATTTTTAACTCAGTTAGAGATATTTCTGATACAAGTTAAGAGAATATAACATTAACTGACTAACTAAGCTGGTTTTAAGAGTAATATTTGTATCGTCTCTAAAACGTCACCTATAACAATTACATCGCCGTGTAATTTATAATAAAAAGGCTATCAATGTTATTCCCATACCATATTGGGTACTAGGTTATATATGGGGTAGAATATGGGAATCTAATCATATGTGCACCTCTGATATTATTTGATTTGAAATTAACTTTCCTTTTTATTTCTTACAAAATTAAAATATCAATTAAAAGAAAATCTGAGTTTAGCTTATGATTAAAGCAATTTTATTTTTCCTTTTTTTTTTATAAAACTTAATTATAAGACGCTCTTTTCTGTTATTATGTTAGGTTAAGTGCAGACAAAAAAAATAAAATGATTCGGCTGCGCATTTCACAATATTCTGCTAACAGCGAAAGATTTATAAAAAAATGTAGTTTGAATCAAATGTCTGACAATCCTAATTCTCACGTGTCTATTATTATTTTATTTTTATTCCAGATTTAGACATGATTATATTGATCACGCGCCGTATGCAAGAGTTCTGGTGATCCCGATTCAAGTTCCCGGATAATGACGTCAATTCTGCCTCATCCGCCATATTTAGTGTAAATTTACATTTTTGCAGCCTGAATAGATCGGTTGCCGCTAAGCAGAGGGGAGAAACTGTCCATTTGAGTTTAAAGCCTGTAAACTATAAACAAACATAATGTAAGTATGCAATGTCGAGTTTATTTGCACCGAATTTGTGGATTGCATGGAATTAATTTATGTCGGGAACCAATGTTTATCGATTTCCAGATTTCTTGACATTTCACATGATATAGGTAGAACTGTCAGTTTAGTGTCTCTGTCCAATAGAGGAGTTATATGCATGTAACAAATTCTACTAAAGAACAACCCAGATTGTGTGTATTCCCATTATATCATGTTGGCTATGCTCGCTCGGGGTTACATGTCAATAGAAATGTGACAGCTACAGTACAGTACTGTATTGATACAACCTGCATACCTTTATTGCACGTAATACTATCCTCGTTATGATATTCCTGTAGAAGTGTTTGTGGTAGTATTATTTAAAAGTCGGAATACATAAAGGAAATACGCCCCCCCCCCCCCCCCCCCCCCCCCCCCCCCCCCCCCCTCTCCAATCGCAACATCTCATTCTCCACCCACGCAAACATAATTATATACAATTGTACGAGGAGCCGGCTTTCTGATCACTGGTACAATACAGTACTTGTACATAGAGATGTTGTTGAGTTGAGTCCAATAGATAGCTGTCAGTGTCTTGTTGACAAATGAGTTGTTGAATTATTTTGATTACATACATGTATCTGATCCCTGAAGCACTTTAAGTTATTAATATCTGAAGGTTAGTCTTTCATCAAATACCATTCTGTGATCTCATTGCTTGTGTAATGTAATTTTATTTTCGCCATGTATCTTTTACCTGAATAAACAATACTATTATTATTATTGTAATCATATTTTTTAACTTCATTTATATTGATTCCTGATACTGGTCAGGAACTCGTGAAAGAGCAAGGTTGCCACTTGACTTCCTTGTAAATATAGAAACCTTTCAGTAATATATACTTATATTAAGTATATTTATATTTTCTATCTGGGAATTTACACTGGAAGATAAGGCAGGGTCTTGTCTTTATAGTGTAACTGGACTGGGTCGATCGTCCGGACCAGATAGCTCAATTTGGTAGAGCAACCGTCTTAAGTTCGGAGGGTCCCGGGTTCGAACCCCAGTATGGCCGTGCATTTTTCCTCTCCTGTTACATTTGGCGCCCAACGAAATATACCCACAGAAGGTGGTAGTATCTTCGGGGTCGAAGACTTTGATAAAGGAGGGATGAATGTAGTCGACTGGGTCGATTGTCGGTGACCAGATAGCTCAATTTGGTAGAGCAACTGTCTAGAGTTTGGAGGGTCCCGGGTTTGAACCCTGGTCTGGCCGTGCATTTTTCCTCTCCTGTTACAATAGAAAAAATGTCCCTTCAGAATTTACTTGGTTTGTCATCTGTACAATTTTCAAGGTTCTTGTGACATCCTTGTTAATGCTACTCTATATGCTATAAGTTGCAAGACAAGGGACAACAGTTCTCGGGTATTCCCCAGCAACAAGGAAGAACAGATTTTACTGTTACACAATATGCTGAGTCTGCACCTGTTTGGACCAGTTATCAGTTTGACAGCTGTGGCAAGTCACCAATACAATGGGTCTGGACCAGTTATAAGTTAACAGCTGTGACAGTCACCAATACAATGGGTCTGGACCAGTTACCAGTTTAACAGCTGTGACAGCATCACCAATACAATGGGTCTGGACCAGTTATCAGTTTAATAGCTGTGACAGTCACCAATACAATGGGTCTGGACTAGTTACCAGTTTAACAGCTGTGACACCTGCACATATATTTAGAATGTATAACGATATATTGCAATACAGAATGAATAAATTGTGATACGTATCCTGATATATTGTCATAGGAAGGATGTGCTCAATTTTATAATAAGTTGTTCTCAGAATGTTATCAAACTTAATTATAACACTTATCCTGATATATTGTCATAGGAAGGATGTGCTCAATGTTATAATAAGTTGTTGTCAGAATGTTATCAAACTTAATTATAACATGGATTTAAGATTTTCGTCCTACCAACCATCGATTACAAAATTTGAACTGATTCCCACCACTATTAAAAGCCTGTTTTGTGCTTATTTGGCATATATCTGTAAGAATTTGTAGTAATTTGCAAAGTTAAAACACCAAGAATATACATGAAAATAAGTTTTTGAAAAATATACCTGTTTCCCGATATATGGTGACAGCCCTAATTTATATGTCCCAAATATCGTAAACATGCACAATGATTCCAATATAACAGTTTAAAACCAAATTTGTCAATACATGTTCGTGTCTCTGAACTTCTCTAGTTATCTTATGTATTAAACAGTTCAATAATAGCTCTAGGGATGAAATATTTGTATTGCTATATGTAGCGTAATGATATGGTATAAATTAATATTACATAAGTGGAGAAGCTATATATAGTGGTACATATATAAGGAAGTTTTAAAATTATCCTTAATTGCTTAAATGCATGTATTGCCAGGCCATGCATTGTGACTGTGATAAACATGCATTATTATTAATATTTCAAGATATAAGGGGATGTAAATTTTGAACTTCAAATTATCTTGTGTATTTTTCAACAGAATTTGTGTACAAGTAAACAATTTTAAATTGATCTGAGATATATCTCGTATTTAGCCTGAGGTTTGAGTGTATAGGTTTACGCTTGATTGATAGCGATACATCCAGTCCTAGATGTACATGTGTATATATATTTATATACACTAAGGTATCTATTGTACCATGCATGTTGTGGCTCATCTATTACCCGTTTGTAATACATCACAGGATGACACATGTTTGAGACATTTGTTAGGTACATACTGGTTTAAATCATTTACCTCATGTTCTGGTATATGTCGATATTAAATGGTTAAGCTTATCATTAATATGATTCAACAAGCCATGGGCAGCAAATGTAAATGCCATGTCCAAATAAATCCAGTGTCATGTTATTTGAATCCATCCATTCGTGTGATTTCCTTTTATGGGATTGTTATACACTATTTACCATCAGGTCTGCGCAACCCAATCCCCAGAATCCCCAGGCTGGTCCTGGTGGGCCACCGTAAGTAAAACACCAACGCATGTGCATTACATGTTGTCCGAAATGCATACCTTTTTTTTCATTTTACAGAATTGGATGTTGTCCTGTTTGTACATTTTACAGAAATAGTAGATACTACCAGTTACAGATTTATATTTTGCCCTGTCATCATCGTTTACACTTACTGATCCATTAGACGTCCTGTTACTTCCATTTCAGCCTTTTTACTTAGTGCATGTAACAAAGTTTTTCAATAGGACTACTGATCACACAAAGTGTTAAAGGACGACAACATATTGAGACCCTGCAATGGCATGAAAATAGTGACGGAAAATCTGTTAGAAACTTTTCAAACATTTATGTTAATTGGTGGGCATTTGTAACCGGATGATAGCGTTTACTGATGTTTATAAATGATAACATTTGATAGTGAGTATGTGCACCATATGTCGTTGTTATTTAAGGAATAATTTAGTATTTTGGTCAGGTTATATTTCGGGTTTTTTCCTGTTTATTAGGGATGGGCCCTTTTAGTCTCAATTGAGAAGGAAATTAGCGGGAGTAAACTGCAAATTATGGGAATTAGGCATGAACATGAAATACTCTCAATTGGGAATGAGGCTCATTATCGGCCCATAAAAGTCCCCAGAAAAAACCCCACTGTAATTATGAATACCCCGGTAGATACATTTAACTCCAGTTTACAAGAAAAAGGTTATTTAGTGAGTATCAGTGTAGACTGTAAATAATTGTAGATCTATATTCACTCATTAATGTTATTATAAATTTAACTATGCTATGAATTTTACACAATTTAGCAAGTTGAATTATTTTATCATTTATTCACTTTATACAATATAATTTGTGTAAGATGACCCACTGACTTAAAATGATAATGAAATGATATTGATATGGCATTCAGATTATATATAATGATTTCACAATGGAGACGATTGATTAGGTCACTTCAAGTGCATGTTCTGCTATGATGTCCACTTTTATTTTGATTTTTTTTAAGATTTGTAAACTTGTTTCATAGGATGAAACTTGTTTGATATCTTATATTTATGTATATGTCATATTTATTCTTTATTTACATACTCTGTATCAGTGTATGTGTAAGGGGTAAGGTTAAACTTTTCTTGTTGGTCATCAGTTATTTAATCCTTTTGATAATTATTTTGTCACAGCCTCAGATATTTATCAGCAAATTAAATAGTCCCATCAATTAAATAATTACGAATCAGTTTCTCAAACACTCCCAACTTCCTAAACTCAAGTTTATCCTCATGAAAGCATTATTGTTTAAGAAAAATCTTGAAATAAGATAATCAGGAAATTTGATTAGCTTTGTTGATTACCCTGGGCAGGTAATGTTTCCTGAAGATTTTTTTTAGTTAAGAAATTACTTCAGAACTTGATCACTTATGCATGTAAGTGGAAAGTAAAAGTTCAGGGTATCAACTAAAAAGGATATGCAATATAGACCAATGAAAATCATCTATTAATTTTCTATAATCATTACCAAGACAATGATAATACATGTGACAATGTTGAATTGTTCAAGATTATTTAACAATCAATCTGCTATCCATGTCCATTGCATATTTGTTTATAATATTGTGAATTTATGTTTCATCCTCCACATATTTTCCTCTATTTTGTATGTAATGCACTTGTATTTTGTGTTGTAGGTATGCTTTCTGTTTTAGTGTAGAGGAAATGTTAATGTATGATTTTGTTCATGGTTTGATGAGGTGGAGACATGTATTTAATATAAAACATTGGCTGATGTACTTTACAAAAAATTGTGAATGTGAAATACATGGTAAAAGTTACTTGTACTGTACTACAGAAATTTGTTAAAATGATACTGTCAAATTATATGATATTATTGTAATTCCTGATAATGTATTAAACAAATTAGAATTTTTATCCATGGAATATCGTGCAAAGGTTCAAACAAAGTTTTTGTTGTATAATTTGAGTCACTACATATAGTTAGTACATTTATATCATGCTCTATGTTCCGTCTTTGCTTATTGCAGAGTTATCTTCTCTTGTGAGCAGGTATTGATTGTTACGTCAATGGTTTGTGAGAGTAACGTCATAAATTTTTGAGAAAGACGTAATTTTCTCACACAAACCAATGACTTAACAATCAATACCTGCTCACAAGAGAATATAACTCTGCAATACGAAAAGACGGAGTAGGCATTGATCCTCTTAGTTATGCAATATTCTTCTGTCAGGTAAATTATCATAAAATATGTATTGTTTTTGATTCGGACAATCTCAGCATGAGATGTTTATAATCGTAAACAAAAGACAAGTATGTATGATATATATAATGCACAAGCACACCTGTTCTACTTGTATTAAACATATGTGGTTTTGTCTACAGGTCGGCAGTTGGAGGTCCTGGGGGACCCCCCAATAACCCAACTCCAGCCCAACCCAGCAAACGGCTACAGCAAACACAGGCTCAAGTCGATGAGGTGCGTCTATATTTTTTTTATATTAATTTACAAATATCTTTACACATCTAACTAGTCAAGAAAAGGTTTATAATTATCATACAGCAAATATATTAACACTAAAGCATGTTTAAAATTGTGCAAACTTCATCTGGAGCTTAAATTTGTAGTGTGTTAATGTTGCAACATAGCAGTAGGTTAATACATATGTATGTTTTAAATCATGGGCTGTTTCAGTTTGTTAGATGGAAGGTTGGATCAGTTTCATTTAAATTTCTTTCCTGTTTGTCATTCATGCGTTCATTACATAAAGATAGAAAACTGTGACAATCTTACAACAGTCGCTGACCTTTATTGTAATCTACCACTAGGGGTATACATTCATTGTACGCGCATAAGTTTTGTGTCTTTCCTAAAGTACAAACATTTCATGAGGTACTTGGATCTGTTTATAATTTGTTATGTATTTAGGAGAGTTATTACTCCCTCTTTTAAGATTTATTACTATACAGTGTCTTACTGCAGAGGTGTACAATACCACTAGCACAATCCTGTGACTACACATATATTTTGTGCAGGGTTTGATGAAATATTTTAACAAGACATTTTCAAGATCAGATCCACCATTGATAACTTTACCTTCCAAGGACAGCGACAGTAACTTTGCATTAATTCATTCCTATTTGACCTGAAGCCCTTAGAGAATACATGTATATATCAAAATGTTTTTTTCTCTCCCAAAAAATATCAAATGAAAGAGATGATCATGGCATATTCACTGGAATTTCATATGAAAGTTACTACTGTTAATAAAATACAGACACAATATCTGAAATCTTTATAATCAAGAAATTACTACTGTTGGTAAAATACAGACACAATATCTGAAATCTTTATAACCAAGAAATTACTACTGTTGGTAAAATACAGACACAATATCTGAAATCTTTATAACCAAGAAATTACTACTGTTGGTAAAATACAGACACAGTATCTGAAATCTTTATAACCAAGACATGCTGTTATACTGTATGTGACTTACTGTTGGCAGGTTGTGGACATCATGAGAGTGAATGTGGACAAGGTGTTGGAGAGAGATCAGAAAATTTCAGAACTTGATGACAGAGCAGGTTTGTTATTTAGATGAGACTAAAAAAATTGCAACTTGATGACGATTTAATTTTGTGGTGTACCTTTAGCTATATCTACTATAAATTAAAAACTTGATGACAATTTAATTTTGTGGTGTACCTATATCTATTGTAAATTAAAAACTTGATGACAATTTAATTTTGTGGTGTACCTATATCTATTGTAAATTAAAAACTTGATGACAATTTAATTTGGTGGTGTACCTTTATCTATTATAAATTAAAATTTCAAAGATTTATTCTCATTGTTCTGCTTCCATGGGAAAACATAAATTATTTAAGTAGCTTCATTGTTGTAGCTAGGTTCACATAAAATTGTTCAATTTAATAGTGTATTTTACAGATACGAGGTTTATAATTATCACAGGATTTATCAGATGAAATATTTTGAGAAATAGACTGGGTCCAAATAAGAAAAATTATCTGCAGAACTAGATTCTTATTACAATATGGTATCCTCACAGCTATGGGATGCTGACGCTAGCTAGATCCTGATCAGAACCTGATCGTTGCTGGTTATTTGTTATAGATGCTCTACAGGCGGGGGCCTCTCAGTTTGAGGCGAGTGCTGGCAAGCTCAAAAGGAAGTTCTGGTGGAAGAATTGCAAGGTATGTCTTGTAAAGAAAAGTTATTAAAAATATTAGTGATTAAATAAAGTGATAGGACATGTAAAATATGAATGCATTCCAGGTAGTGCTTTAATTTCATGGTATCAAAGTTTGGATCTTTTGTTCATGGAATAATCTTTCTTGGTTTAATTGAAGTACTGATCAAAACCAGTTTTTTTATTGAGGAGCAATCCTTTTTGTGGTTTATATGTTACATATATTTTTGGTCTGTGAATATAGCAACACTAAAACCTTTATGAAATATCAGGAAGTAGTATTGTTAATCTGCAGTAAAATATGTTACTTTTTTACAAAATTTTAAGTACAAATTTTTAAATTGTTAATGCAGATAGTAAAAACATGATACTGACACTGGAACGAGTTTAAGAACTTAGCGATGATAAGATTGTGTAATGATTAATCCTGATTGATAAGACTAACGAGTCAGACGTGGATACGGGGTCAAAAGTTCAGTCTGAATATAACAAAACTGGAGATGTGTAAAACTAGGTAAGATGAATTAACATCAGCACATGTACAGTATTGTGGTACGAGTGACAAGGGAGATAATTCTGTGCTGATTTACAGATGATGATAATTCTGGGGAGTATAATTGCTGTAATAGTAATTATAATTGCCGGTGAGTGTTAGAAGATAATTGTTGTCAAAGTTTATGTTGTACACACTGGCTTTGTATTGCACTGAAATATTGTCTTGTTGGATTTTCTTTTTAAATTCATTTATTTCTACATATATAGAATTATTGAATTTTCTTTAAACTTAACATGGGAATCATGTTTTGAAGTTGAAGAAAAAAATGTTTTGATTAAGATATATTTTCCTCTGAAAATATTTATTCTGTTTCAAATAAAGGTCTTGATAACTTATTCATTATGTAGTGGTTTAAAACACACTTTGCAGAAAGTGTATACACATACCAACCTGAACATTTGAGCATAGAACTATGATAATTAAAATCTAGACTGGTCAGTCTAGTTTCCATTTACGGTGAAAGCCATTATGTCGGAGACAGTTTTTAAGTTTCTGTGATTCTGGCACACTTTGTAAATGGTCACAAGTTTTTTTGTATTTTTTTTAGTGTTTTTTTTTAGATAAATTTTTGTAGACTTTAAATACATTAAGTACTGAGAGACTATTCACATGTATTGAAGCAGAATATAAGTATATAAGAATAGGCCAACTACTGAGCATAATGTCTCAATCATGTTAGTTCAGAAGGCCTTAGCAAATACTGTTACCACTTAATGGGTTGCAGACAGTCTAACATTTGAAAGATCCTTGTTAGAGAGTATTTGAAAAATGAATTAATTTAATAAATATTAGAGCTGGATATTGCAAAGTAATTGTATAACATTTTTATGCAACATTTTGGTCATATTCAATAATATATATTGATATGTAATATATTGGCGATATTGTCTCTCTCTAATAGGACAGTCTGGCAGCAGAGTGCTTATTAAACCATTGTAATAGAAAAAAACCAAATATGTCAATATGACATAGTAAAAATGAAATTGATTTTGAATGTTGAGTGCAGACATGATCAGTATGTTCAGAATGACAAGCAGTTAGATAAGGTTTCTGATAGTAAAGAAGTCTGCTAAAATGAAGAAGGAATATGCTTAAAGCTAAAACTGCAGGTGTAAAACCATTAATAAATTCCCCCAGAAACTATGAGATAGGTATGGCAGTTCTGTGGTAAATAATCAAATATAGCTATACTTCACTTCCTGTTCACAAGGGGAAGGAATCCTGTTCACCAGGCAAGGGGGAGGGACTCACAGGGGTTGGTGAAGGAAAGAAGTGCTTTAAAAAGGATTCCCTTTAATAGGAAAGCTATTAATCCCCTTAAAAAAAGATTCCCTCAAAAAACAGTTTCTGTTTGAATAATTGTGTTGACCTTTTTTTATGCAAAAAGCTCTATTAATTTCTTAATGTTGTAGTAGATCTTATTGTGAATGCTTTCTAATATAATTTGCCATGCCATATTTTACCCGTGTGATTCTGACATGAAGGGAGGTGAACCAAAATTCCCCTGATACAAGTATTTTTAATGAAGCCACCTCCATATCAAGCCAGTGTTGTTTGGGACATATACTGGCCCTTTACTAAGTGTTCAAGTAATCTCACAATCCAGCCACTTTTGATTGGAACAAATTTGAAGGTGGATGCACTGTTGAAGCTCAGCTGTATGAATCAATGAGTTAAGTCCCTTCTTACATGAACTCCTTAATACCTGTTGTGGGTTAATCATGGGTAAACTATGGTGTATTTTGTTGTCAACATTTATTTTTGTATTTTTTGTTTGCATTTGATGTTGTCCCTTTCAGATGTGGTTGATACTGATAAGTATTATTGTGGTAATAATCATCATCATTGCTGGTAAGTAAAAGTGGACATTGCTTCACCTACCCAGACACTCTACCCCAGGGATCTATCTCAGTGGACATTACTTCACTGTCCCAGACACTATCCCCTAGGAATTCTACCTCAGTGGACATAGCTCCACCCTCCCAGACACTATCCTCCAGGGATTCTACCTCGGTGGACATTCCCTTACCCTACCAGACACTCTACCCCAGGGATTCTACCTCAGTGGACATTCCGTCCCCCTCCCATACACTCTACCCCAGCTATCCTCCAGGGATTCTACCTCGGTGGACATCCCCTTACCCTACCAGACACTTTACCCCAGGAATTCTACCTCAGTGGGCATAGCTCCACCCTCCCATACATTCTACCCCAGGGATTCTCCCTCAGGGGAAATCCCCTTACCTACCAGACACTCTACCCCGGGGATTCTACCTCAGGGAACAGTCCCTTACCCTACCAGAAACTCTACCCCAGGGATTCGACCTCAGTGGACATTCCGTCCCCCTCCCATACACTCTACCCCAGCTATCCTCCAGGGATTCTACCTCGGAGGACATTCCCTTACCCTGCCAGACACTCTACCCCAAGGGTTCTACCTCAGTGGACATTCCGTCCCCCTCCTCACTGTCCCAGACACTATCCCCTAGGAATTCTACCACAGTGGACATAGCTCCACTTTGCATTTGATGTTGTCCCTTTCAGATGTGGTTGATACTGATAAGTATTATTGTGGTAATAATCATCATCATTGCTGGTAAGTAAAAGTGGACATTGCTTCCCCTACCCAGACACTCTCCCCCAGGGATTCCACCTCCGCGGACATTCCCTCACCCTACCAGACACTTTACCCCAGGAATTCTACCTCAGTGGGCATAGCTCCACCCTCCCATACATTCTACCCCAGGGATTCTACCTCCGGGGACATTCCCTTACCCTACCAGACACTCTACCCCAGGGATTCCACCTCAGTGGACATTCCCTCACCCTACCAGACACTTTACCCCAGGGATTCTACCTCGGTGCACATTACTTCACCGTCCCAGACATTCTCCACCAGGGATTCTACCTCAGGGGACATTCCCTCACCCTACCAGACACTCTACCCCAGGGATTCTACCTCAGGGGACATTCCCTTACCCTACCAGACACTCTACCCCAGGGATTCTACCTCAGGGGATATGACTTCACCGTCCCAGACACTCTCCCCCAGGGATTCTACCTCGGAGGACATTCCCTTACCCTACCAGACACTTTACCCCAGGGATTCTACCTCGGTGCACATGACTTCACCGTCCCATACACTCTCCCCCAGGGATTCTACCTCAGTGGACATTCCCTCGCCCTCCCAGACACTCTACCCAAGGGATTCTACCTCAGTGGACATTCCCTTACCCTACTAGACACTCTACCCCAGGAATGTTACCTCAATGAACATAGCTCCACCCTCCCAGAGACTCTACCCAAGGGATTCTACCTCAGTGGACATAGCTCCACCCTCCCATACATTCTACCCCAGGGATTCTACCTCATTGTACATTCCCTCCCCCTCCTAGACACTCTACCCCAGGGATCATACCTCAGTGGACATTCCCTCACCCTCCCATACACTCTTCCCCAGGGGTTCTACCTCAGTGGACAATTAACCCTCCTAGACACTCTACCCCAGGGGTTCTACCTCAGTGGACATTTAACCCTACCAGACACTCTACCCCAAGGGTTCTACCTCAGTGGACAATTAACCCTTCCAGATACTCTACCCCAGGGATTCTACCTCAGTGGACATTACTTCACCCTCCCAGACACTCTACCCTAGGGATTCTACCTCAGTGGACATTCCCTTACCCTAACATACACTCTACCCCAGGGACTTAACCTTAGTAGACATTCCCTTACCCTACCAGACACTCTACCCCAGGGACTTTACCTTAGTAGACATTCCCTTACCCTCCCAGACACTCTACCCCAGGGATTTTACCTCAGTGGACATAGCTCCACCCTCCCAGACACTCGACCCCAGGGACTTTACCTTAGTAGACATTCCCTCACCCTCCCAGACACTCTACCCCAGGAATTTTACCTCAGTGGACATTCCCTCATCCTCCCAGACACTCTACCCCAGGGATTCTACCTCAGTGGACATTCCCTTACCCTACCAGACACTTTACCCCAGGGATTCTACCTCAGTGGACATTCCCTCATCCTCCCAGACACTCTACCCCAGGGATTATACCTCAGTGGACATTCCGTCCCCCTCCCATACACTCTACCCCAGGGATTCTACCTCAGTGGACATTCCCTCACCCTCCCAGACACTCGACCCCAGGGATTATACCTCAGTGGACATTCCATCCCCCTCCCATACACTCTACCCCAGGGATTCCACCTCAGTGGACATTCCCTCACCCTCCCAGACACTCGACCCCAGGGATTATACCTCAGTGGACATTCCGTCCCCCTCCCATACACTCTTCCCCAGATTCCACCTCAGTGGACATTCCCTCACCCTCCCAGACACTCTACCCCAGGGATTATACCTCAGTGGACATTCCGTCCCCCTCCCATACACTCTTCCCCAGGGATTTTACCTCAGTGGACATAGCTCCACCCTCCCAGACACTCTACCCCAGGGATTCTATCTCAGTGGACATTCCCTCACCCTCCCATACACTCTACCCCAGGGATTCTACCTCAGTGGACATTCCCTCACCCTCCCATACACTCTACCCCAGGGATTCTACCTCAGTGGACATTCCCTCACCCTCCCATACACTCTACCCCAGGGATTCTACCTCTGTGGACATGGCTCCACCATCCCAGACACTCTACCCCAGGGATTATACCTCAGTGGACATAGCTCCACCCTCCCAGCCACTCTACCCCAGGGATTCTAAATCAGTGGACATTCCCTTACCCTACCAGACACTCTACCCCAGGGACTTTACCTTAGTAGACATTCCCTCACCCTCCCAGACACTCTACCCCAGGGATTCTATCTCAGTGGACATTCCCCCACCCTCCCATACACTCTACCCCAGGGATTCTACCTCAGTGGACATAGCTCCACCATCCCAGACACTCTACCCCAGGGATTCTACCTCAGTGGACATAGCTCCACCCTTCCAGACACTCTACCCCAGGGATTCTACCTCAGTGGACATTCCCTTACCCTACCAGCCACTCTACCCCAGGGACTTTACCTTAGTAGACATTCCCTCACCCTCCCAGACACTCTACCCCAGGGATTCT